CTTTGCAGACTGGCACATTAACCCATAGCACCACACCTGGACTTTTAGTTTTGTTAGGGTACCTTAAAAAAAACAAAACAAACAAACAATGAAAAATAGTGGCTTCAGATGGGATCTACTGGGCAAATTAAATTCAAAGCAAAGAAGTCCCCTCAGAAAGTTATGGTGAGGGGATTATTTTCTGGGATTCCAAGGGTGTAATCTTAACAGATTTTCTTGAGGATGTGGGATGACATGGGGAGCTTATTATGAAGAAGTTTTAAGAAAATTTAAAACTACACTGAGGAGAAAAAAGGCAGGAAATTTTCCCCCTCATAACAGTGCACTTCCTCGTTCTTCAAAGATTAGCAGGGACTGCCTGTGAGAATTTCTTTGAAAAACCTGCCCACCCTATATCCTTCCCCAAACTCAAAGGATTTAAAGGGCATTGATTTGAGCTCCTGGAGAAGGCCCAAACTACCACTTTGTAGTGTAAGTTGAGGAGCAGAGACTTCCTTAGAAAGGGTGAGAGAGATGGAAACACCTCCCTCAGGAGTGCTAGGCATAGATAGAAGACATGTTAAGTAATAACTTCACAGTGTTATCTTGTTATAATAAAGTTTTCTATGCTTTTGAAACAATACTTTTTGACATAACCTCATATTGGATACAACACATTGGATTATTAGGGAGAATAGTATCTGAAATTCATCTTACGAATGATTTTATCTGTTTTATCAGATTAAACTGATCATATCCTTTGATTTATGGTATTTCTTATAACTAATTACTCTTGATAATTAATGCAAAGTTCAGGATGAGTGTGTGTATGTTTGTATAAATAAATGTATTTAAAATCTTAAAATTGTACTTGAAGCCATTGTTTTTTATCAAAGGATATTTATCTATTAAGTAACTATGGTTTATTATTTATTCTCAGAATATATGTAGAATTTTGAAGAGAATTTTTATTAAAATAAAACAGAGCACATAAAAGCATACCGATCTTAAGTATACAGCTTAATAAAATAAACACGCCCATATCAACACCTTCCAGATTAATATATATAGAACATTACCCCAGAAGTCTACCGATGCCTGCTTCCAGTCATTAATCCTCCCAAAAGGTAAAACATTATTCTCATGTGTACCACTATGGATTCTTTCCCTTATTTTTGAACTTTAAAAAGTAGACTCGTACAATATATTTTCTTTCTGTCTGCTTTGTTTCCCTCAATATAGTTTGTTGAGTCATCCATCTGCACATAATTATAGTTTGTTCTCTCCCATTACTGAATAGTATTCCACTGAATGAATAGATGTAAAATATATATTAATTTTTGTCTTAGAGGACAGTTTTGGTGTTTCTGTGTTGGCGCTATGTTTACCAGTGCTACTAATGAACATTCTTCTGTGTTTCAATAAGTGTTGAATAAAATATAAGATATCTTGTTATCTAGAAAGTTGAGAACAACCAAATATTTTATTTTAAATAATTACATTAGTAAGTGGCATGATAGAAGAAATTTTTATAATTTTTCTCCTGTTAAAGTAGCAGTACTATTATAATGGACTCCTCATGTGGTGCTGTAGGATCAGCAGTGGACTGTGAACCACAATGTCAGCAGCTCCTGGGAAACCCTTTACAGGGTCGCTGTGAATCAGAACTGACTAGACTGCACTTAACAACTATTATAATGATAATTGCTATAATAGCTATCATTTATTAAGAGAGAGTGGAGTCTTGGTGTGGCACTGTGGGTTATTGCACAGGACCACAAGGCCAGTGATTCAAACTCACTAGCCACTCCTTGGAAACCTTATACAGGAGCACTATGAATCGGAACCAACTCGATGACACTTAACACAACAATTAAGAGACTACTATGGTGTGACACTGTAGGATAAGCACTGGACTACCAACCACAGAGTTAATGGTTCAAACCCACTAGTTGCTCCTCAGAAACCCTAATTAGGGTCGCTCTAAGGTGGAACTGACTCAAAGGCACTTAACCCAATTAACAAATATGCCTGATACTATACAGAGTATTTTACTTTGTTTTGTGTTATACAGAGTATTTTTCATATCATTTATTCTTTACAATCGTTTTCTGAGATAGTATAACAGGAGTGTGTTCAACTACAAGTAACAATAGAAACAAAAATCAACTAACAATTGCTTCAATAAGACATTACAGATAAAGATACACACCAAGGAGCTCTGGTAGTGTGGTGGATTGATTACAATACGAGCTGCTAACCACAAGGTCAGCAGTTCGAATCTACCAGCTGCTCCATGGGAGAAAGATGAGGCTTTCTGGTCCCATAAAGATTTACAGCCTCAGAAACCCTATACAGGGTCACTATGAGTTAGAACTGACTCCATGGCACATAACCACCTCCACCACAGATACATACCAGAAGGTAACCTCTTTGTTAATATTTTCTCTCTAAAGCAGATCTTTGTTTTTAAGCAGTTAAACTTTTAGGACCTGCATATCTCCCAATATAATATTTTGGGGTCATTGTTGACGTAGGAAGAAACTATATGCTTGTACTAAAAAATTCAGTAGAACATTTTTTAATAAAATATGTGTTGAAAAGTTTGAGTTTCATTCATATACCCTTAGCATAATGTCAAAACCACATATAAACTTTTAGAAAAGTATGCTAATGTAAGAAGATGGTTGTGTGTGTGTATATATATATATGTGTGTGTGTGTGTGTGTGTATCAAGGATGTTACTCGCACTGAAAAGTATTACTGCATCCTACTCAGTCTGAGACATCCTGTCATTCTGTGTTCTGTTGATAGTAGATGGCTATGGCAAGTAGACTGGAAGTTAGTGACTACAAAACAACTGTTACTATAAGAATTGATTTTCTGGTGTTTAAAACACTTTATATTTGAACATGATAGTTTCACTCTTGTTGTTATGTGCCATGGAGTCGATTCTGACTCATAGGGACTCCTGTATAGGGTTTCCGAGGCTGTAGATCTTTACGGGAGCAGAAAGCCTCATCTTTCTCCCGTGGAACAGCTGGTAGTTTCAAACTGCTGTCCCTGAGATTCGCAGCCCGATTCGTAACCACTATGCTACCAGAGCGCCTTAGTTTCACTCTTAGTCATGGGCATTTTATTGTGTGTTAGTTATATAGGAAATATCTTCATGAACTTGCGATAGGCAAAGATTTCTTAAACAAGACGGAAGAAAACCTACCTATCCTTAAAAGAAAAGATTGATAATTTGCTAAAATTATGTTAAAAGCTAGAGCTCTGTTCATCAAAAGGTATCATTAAAAGAATAGAATAGCACAGAATATGTACAAGAGGTCTTCAAAAGTTTGTGCAGCAATAGAAAAAGTGAAAATGGAATTTTTTCCACGACCTTTTAAAGCACCCTCATATATGCCATACACACACATATTCTTGCTTGCATATCCAGCTAATAGAAAAATAGAGTGGCTACTTCACAAATAATATCTTCATGACCAGTAAACCCAAAAAGTTGTTGCTTTCATTAGTCATCTGTGAAGTGCAAATGTAATACTTCAATATGTACTACTTCTTTATGTACATCTACCAGATTAGTAAAATGAACAAAAGTGATAAAGTGAGGATTGGTTTGTGTGTGGAGCATACACTACTGGTAGGGAAGATTATATATTGACCTACCACACGTTCACCAAGATAGCATATAGAAATTTATGTGTAAATATATATAGCAACATTATTCTTATAACCTCAAACTGGAAACATAAGTTGTCTATCAGCAATACAGTGGATAAATAAACTGGTATAGTCACATAATAGAATACTATGCAGAATGATAACGAGTTAATTATTGCCCACAACTATATGGATGAATGTCTAAAACAAAATGTTTAATAAAAGAAACTGTACCCAAAGAACACATACTGTGTGATTCCATTTATATAAAATTCAAAAACAAGCATTCCTTGGGCCCAAGCGTTG